ATCCACCGCAGACTCACATCTCTGCGTTATGTGGTCCACTTTCAGAGGTGCCACTGTTGCCGATGACTATCCCACTCTTAGCCGCCCTTTCGCAGTGATCTTACGAGCCGCCGCGAGGGGGCATCTAAGCCACACACCCAACCAGACCGACTGGGGTGGTTCTTATCTTCCCTGTCTTTATATTTTCCTGCCGGCACTCACCCCTCAGTGCAACTGCCGTCATTTCTGAGAGTCATCTAACCCAGTGATCCTTAGCTCTGTCGTCTTGTACGGCACTGCCACTCTGACGGAGGAATCTTCCAAGGCTCCCTCTATCCTGGTTGCTAACAGGGTCGCCTTGTTCCCTCCCTCTTGACCGGAGATTTCCAAAATTAGTCCGCCCAGTTCGGACAGGTTGATTGTTTTGCCCTGGCCATGGCCTGGGCATAGGTAAGCTCTCCTCCGGGAAGGATCGTCAATGTGACGGCAGCCGTCCGTGGAGGGCGAGGCAGCTTGCCTTTCCGCTTCACGGGCGCCACAGCTCCAGCCGAGGCGGAACCCGTGGCGTTCTGTTGCCTCACCGATCTATCCTTCTTCTTTCTTTTCCTCTTCTTTCCACCACCTTTCAGCCACCATCTCGCTTTCAGAGTGAGGAAGGCTCTCCTTCATTCCTCTCTTCCTTCTTCCTTCCGCCACCCTGAGACGAGCCGCCAGTTGTGGTTGTGGGGCAGGGAGTTGAGGTGTCTCTTTTCCCCTTCCCCCAAGTTCTGCCCCTTGCCAACCCCTCGGCGCAGAGGCATTCTCTTCTCCTCCTCTGTTTTCCCATCCGTAGTGCAGCGGAGGGACGTCCTTCTCTTCCTACCTTTAGGGGAGGTGGCTCCACTACGTATCTCCATTCGGAGCTGTTAAAACTTCCTAAGAAAGAAATGGACCCCATCAATGATATATATTTAATTAATATATATTTAATTATTGACGAGACTTTCATGTCGTCTACTTGTTTACCTATCTTCAGCATCTGATAGATGCATTTCTGATACGTCTCATTCGTCTTCTTAATCCTGAGAGACAATTTCTTGTGTATCTTATGCACGTCTACAGATTGCGAAAATTCTAATATCAACGCGTTTCATCTCGGACCACCTGTTACAACATTTTTCGTAATTCACAAATAACTAGCTGATCCTTGCAATAATCGCTTCGCATATGAATGACCTTTTGTATCTCCACTTACAATC